CAGGTTGTGTCACTTCTATGTCATGTTTCTAAACTTGCATGTGTCTTATTTTCATATTTCAAGTCTTCCTATATACACATTTAAATAAATGTGTACAATAACTGTACTGTATCTTTACTTATCTATACTCCTAGAAAATGTTTAATATGTATACATGTGAACATCTCTTTTTTCATGCCAGTATATGAATGCATAGCATGTACTGTGTACTGTATGCATGTTTAAGTATGCAAGCTGTATATATATTACAGTGTATGCTACAGTATATATGCTACATATATGTTTCAGTTTTTTTAATTACTATTCCATATGTAGTGTGACAAGATTTATTAATGAACTAGTTTTCCCTTTCAGGTAGTTGTTGAAAAGTACATTATTATTTATTGAAAACCCAAAGCCCATCCTGAGAAGGCAAAAGCCCTTTAAAAGAAGATCTCTACAGGGGAGAGAAGGTCTTTGTGCCTCTAGTCTTTTGGTCCTACAGTAGCTTCCTTGATCATGCTGCAACAATCCTCTTAGATAAAGCTCGGGATCGTCAATCAGATCACAGGTCACATAATCACATCACAGGGGGTTTCATTGGATTGCTACAACAAATGCACTGCCACTGAAGCAACTGCCATGGAAACAGTGAAACTAAAGAGCCGCTTATTCAGGCCATCAGCAAATTATGAATGCTGGAATCCAAAGGTGTGCATTAAAGAAGGGGCTCTAAACATTAATTAATGATTTTAAATTAAATTATCCCTATTTAATATCCACTGTCTTGCAAAAGTATTGAAACCCTTGCACAGTTTTAAAGCTTTAAATCTTGCAGTCAAAACATTTTGATGCAGCAATTAATATTTATTGTACAGTGTATACACACCCAACTACATATATTCAAAGGACAAACCAAAAGGAAAAAATAAATAGATAATTCATTTGAAAGAAAAATGTAAAAGTCTTGATTGCTAAAGGTCTGGCAAAACTAAATTAACTAGTAAAGGTTAATTCCACACTGAAAAGTAAAAGATTAAACATAACATTACAAAACAATTGTTTCTTCTATCTCATGGTACTGTAATTTAGCATGGAATTACCTTTCCTAGTTCCTTTGCAGCCAGCACACGCTGATGTGGTTCCCCACTCCAACATCTAAATTATTTTAGATACCAAATATGAGCGTAATGAGCCAAACAGTTCAGTGGCCTCACAAATATTTGTGGTTCACAAGATTTCCAAATCAATACACCTGTCTCTGTAAGATCAGGTAGTGAATTTCAAGCAAAGATTAAGATCAAGAATATTTCAGATCAGCTTGTAAATAAAGTTGCACAAAAGCACAGATCAAGAGAAGGGTATAGAACATTTTAGAAGATCCTTAATATCTCTTGTAGCCTGGAGAAGGCTCCCAGACACTGTTGTCCGTACAAAAGTTGCAACTGAGCCAGGATGAAACTGGTTTGGGATGCCACTGTGAGACCATTGGCAAGTTGGAAAGAGCTACAGAGTTTAGTCCATGAGTCAACAATATTGTGGTCACAGTAGGGCCTCTACCAAACTAAAATAAAAGATCTGAAATCCTCCATTTGATTTACAGCATGGCACTTATGTGATATGCAAACTTACACTGTAATATTCATGTGATCTGCAAACATACAGTAAATGGTTTTGTTATCAGACAACACAAACTTAGAAATGCTTTTAAGACTAAAGCAAACATAGATGGAGCAAATTGTTGAACAATTTTGGGAGAAACCCAGCTTCAGACTTAAAACTGGAACATAAATTTCTGCAAGGACAATGATCCAAAAGCAAGGCTGAAGCTAGACTGGATTTGCTTAAGAGTAAGAGCATGAATTTCCTTGAGTGGCCCAGTGAAAGAGACCTGGTTTAAATCCTATTATGAATCTATGGGAAGACTTGAAAACTGCTGTCCATAACTGATCCCCAAGCAACGTGAGACCATTTGAATAAATCCACCAGGAAGAGTGGGGAAAAATTGCAATTGGTTCATAATAGTAAGTCAAAAGATTTAAGGTGCTGTAATTGCATATTTAACTTATATACAGTAATTACGAATTAACAAGACTGTTCTTTAAAAAATAAATAGGAGATATACCAATCAAATTTTGAACTGGAAGTCTTACATTTAGTCTGTCTTTTTGGTATTATGTACCTTTTTTGTGCTTTAGATAACACCTGTAAATTAATTGTGTTTCTGTATTATAAATAAATAAAAAGTTCTGTAAAAAAGAGGGAGTCTTTAAAATAATGGAGAAGTTTACTGAATTTTAGGTTGGGGATGCCTTTTAGGATTTTGAATACTTGTATAAGGTCCCCTCATAGGCATATTGTGCAATTCTGTAATACACGAGCACTGTTCCGGTTTTGAGAGACAAAGTTAGTGTTAAATCTCTTGTTTCCTTAGGTACATCTGGTAAGATACCATGGGGCCCCTTAAAATGTATTAATCTTGAGTGATTCTATTAACCAAAACACTTCTGACTCTTCAATGCTAAAACTACTTAGTATAGAACTTTGTTTTGCTGCCTAAGGCATGTTGAGCACCTAACTGAAATATTAATTTGCAGCATTAGCCATTTCTCTTTCATTTGTCTAAAAGTTTTCAGTTATCATTCCATATCCTGTAAATTTTACTTCATCTTTAATGGTTCTTTAATGGTTGTAGTATTACTTAAAATAACTTTCACTTTCTCTTTTGGCCTTTCTATTTGATCTTTTTTTTTACCAGTGCTTGTAATTCATTGTACTTTTTTGACAAGATTTTATTTTTTAATTCATTTGAAAGTTTTCTCTTCCCTTATATTTGCTTTGTTGAACCACTTTGAGTTCGGCTTTAAACGAAATCTGTTAAAACTATTGCCATCAGTTCTCTTCTGATTCGGCATGCATCCTTTCCCGTTCAACTTCTCAAAGCCTGGTCTCTTTTTTTTTAGTCTGCTTTACTGAATTCTGGACATTTTCAACAAGTATTTTAAGCATGCCTTGTTTGTTCACAGTTGCCCAATGTTTCTCTCACCTCCATTTGCCCCACTCTTGTCTCCATAGTTTGAAAAGTCAAGATTACAAGAGTTTCCATTCGCATGAGCTCTGTCATACTTAACAATATCTGCCTCTTTCATTCTTTTGCTGTATTTATGAAGAAAGTTGAAGTCTCCCGCAAAAAACACTTCTTACTTTGCACAAAAATTCTTTGTTTCATTACACAGTGTTAAACTGTAATTAATATCATCATTTGGTGGTAATTAGAGAACTCTTAAGTCCTAAGGAACCAAAGATTTCTGTGACAAAACAGAAAAATGAGGCCACATTTAATGCCAGCATGTGGCTACCTAATTATTTAAGGCTATAAAATACAAGGAATAAATATTATTAATCACCCAGATCATTTAGATGTGTGTATGTAAAATATTTAATGTTATAGAATATTATTGTTTTCGAATATTCATTGTGAATATAAACACAAACTTTTGCCTGGAAACAAAAATGTTTTCACAATGTCTGAATGATATTGAATATTGTTCATTGCTCCCTAGTGTCTGTTCAAGTGTTACATCTTGGCAGATGGTCAAGAAGAGGTCTAATGATGTTCACATTTGCCTGGGAACATTCGTTAAGGCACTGTACATTACTGTACAAAAATAAAATAAAATAAAATGCTAAAACATATACTGTATCTATAGTCACTATAAGCCATGAGAATAAATTTTATACCAAAGCAAAATAAATAGGATATTATTAGTTTCTACTGAAAAATAGACCCCAATTATTAAACACAGCTCTGCCAGTATCATAGATCTGTACTGGGGAATTCATTCAGCTTTTCCACTGAGCCTGTGATAAAAAGATGAAGACTCTCCATGCAATGGCAGGTGATGCTAAGAGCATTCTCCTACATGGAGGTGCCATTACACATTGTCTACTTGTCTACATCAGAACAATGGTGAGAACAATGTTGTGTATTTGAAGCAAATTAAGTAGGATGTTTCACTCTTTCCTGGTCCTGGTTGGTCAACCGTGGTTCCATTTCTCAGTGACTTAGAGGACCAGTCTTCTAGGCGAACTGAGTCTCAATTTCTCAGACCGGTTATTAAATCTCGGTAACAAAATAAATTCATTGACATTATAGAAATTTATTTTACTAATTTCAATTGAAGCAGAAAATCATGAACTTTGTGAAAGTACTGTGAGTAACTATGTTGTCGCAAACTCACATTTGAGTTCCCACAAATTGCGACATAATGCGGCCCTTCCTGCTCACTAGTCACTGAAATAACTAATGTAATGTGATGTACAAGCAAAAAAATACAGGTTGTGTAGCAGACATTTCACCGCAGAAATGTGATCTGCACGCAGAGTTAACAAGTACTGTAAGTAGTATTTGTCGACAAAACCGACAATCATTAGAAATGAAGAGCAAAATTTCTATTGAATTAAAAGAGATATGTTAACAAACCTGCTTGTTTACAATGTAATGAGGCCACAACATGTCACTGGACATTTTGTTGGCTCGTTCTGAATCACTGAACATGACATTGCACTTACCTGGAAATGTAATCTATTTTGAGATGTAAATTGGAGATTTTACTGTTACTGGAGCTACTGTGAAATACACTCATCAATGGAACAAGTAATAGGTTTATTACTTGTTCCTTTGCAGCCTACGCATGCTGACGCAGCTACCCACCTGAACTACTACACTCATCAATGCTGATTCTTTCTAACCCTGAAATATGAAAATAGCATTGCAGTTACCATTTAACAGATAGAAACAAACACGTTTATGTTTACGAGTGTCTATGAGATCTAAAAGAATTTAACTGGTTTATACTATTTTTCACCATATTGCTCATAGATGTACAAATCATTAACACAGTCACGCTATGTTAAAAAGATATTTTGCATTTCAAGGTGTTAAATGTGATGTGGCTCTTGAAGAGACTGGTCCTCGAGTGTGCCGCTGCCTGTTAACAGTCCATGTGTTTGTATTCTAGCCTTTGTTGGCAGCACAGCAGCTGGCATCGGCGGTGGCAGGGGTGATGCCCGGGGGCACTCCAGGCCTCAATCAGCCAATCCTCATTCCTTTCAACATGGCCGGGCAGCTGGGTGGACAGCAGGGCCTGGTCTTGACTCTCCCCACTGCCAATCTGACCAACATTCAAGGCCTGGTCGCAGCGGCAGCAGCAGGAGGCATTATGACGCTACCATTACAAAACCTTCAAGGTAAGGACACACCAGACAATCACTCATGACTGGTTTATAGTCAGGGCCCATGCGGCTCTGTATAGGCGATTTTGAAAAAACAACAATCAAGAAAGTTTTCCTTAAGTTATACGCTAAGAACAAGACTAAAGTCTGTGGACTCCACAACTCTACAATATAGGTCACCACTGTCAACATATTTTTACCCCTTTAAGTCTCTTAACTGCCTAATAAAACCACTATTCTCACATGAGGAATAGATCACCACTGATGTAAAAGAAGAAAAGAGTCCTTCGCATACAACATGTTCATGAAGAATTGATAATACTATTTATCATTCAAACCAATCTATTGTCCAGTCATTATCTAAACTACGGTAAATCCAAAGGAAACCAGGCATTAAACACAAAGCTATATAATTTCTGTATTTTTTTACAACAATACGTTGCCAGATCTGAAATATTGTAATGTCTTTTTAAATAACATTATTTAATTATCCCTTCAATTATCACATGGATACATTCACAATCATTCGTCTAAGAAAAGTTTCCACTTTCTTATAAACAAGGGCCAAAGAAGTACCAGTGCAGTGCTTAATCTTTTAAGCATAGTTATGTAAAGAAAAAAATACAAACAAGACATATTTCTAAAAGGCAGATAACAGTATTTTGGGCATAAAATTTCTTTACATATTATACAGTGAAGAGAAAATGAAACCAAAGAATTTTAAGCAGCACCCTTCTTTGAGCATGATACAGTTTTCCTCTTAGCACAAAAACAGCAGTGGGTAGTTTCTGTTTCCAGTACACCTTCCTACTACTGTAAGCACGATCAAAATACAGTAAATACTACTTATTCAGGCTTTTATTAAATAATATTTTGTGGTACTGCATTATCTGCCTAGTAATTTTGTCCATGTCTGGTCTATACAGTATATTGTAAAGCAGCTTTTTCTATTATAAACCGCTAAACCGATTTCACAATAATGATGAGGCAAAGGAGGCAATAATCTGTCTGCATCTTGAGTAATGGGAGGGACACAGAAGAGAGTTTTTTTTAAGTAAAAAATCAGGGTGAATAAAAGGTCATCTGTGGAAAAAAAGTATTTCTTTCTCCTGTAGGCTAGATTCCTTACCTGTATGCTGAGGTTTTTTAATTATAGGTCAGTGTCGTGCGCAAGCTTGCAACAGCACTTTAAGCTTCTCTTAAGCATAAAGTGTGCTCTCTTCTTTCTCTCCACTTGCCTGTCTGTCCACATGGCTTTACTTAACTTTGCCTTTTAAACTTTAATGCCAAATGTTCTCTTTTGATCATAGTTGTAAATGGTTTTCATTTTAATGTTTAAAATATTGTCTCTTTTATACCATTAGATTGAGCTGAGGAACCTGTCGGTCATAAATCTTAGATGAGGAGGACACGCTAATGCAAAAAAATGTGCTTGTATAAATTTGAAGAGTGTAAAGCAGGAGGTTGAAGATTAAAATAATGCCAGACCAGCATAAAGTAGAAGTCTAACAAAGTGAGGAAAGGAGGCCATTCAAAGCAGATGGGTGAAAAAAAACGTAATGGACAAACATGCATAAATAACAACATGCTCAAGAATAGGCACCAATCGGTAGCTGTAATAAATTCTATCATATATTTAGAGTTACTCTTCTGCTGTACATGCATCAAGCAGTACTTATCCTTCATAATGTGTCTTCAAGGCCTCGACTATATGTTCAAAATCTTTTATTCAAGACAACACTAGTAGAATATGAGAACACAAGCCTTTTTCTCCTGTTTTTATCCTGAATGTGAAAGTCACAATAAATGTAATCTTTTAAAAGATATGTCAAAGGGCCATTTCAAAACCACACATAATTGCACTTTTCTCTCCCAGTTTTAACTTTTCTGATATAAAGGTAACAGCAATAATAACAATTTCTTGTATTTTTACATTGCTTTTCATTCCAGGTATCCCATAGTGCTTCATATACCCATCTGGGTGACAAGCAGTAGCTATTTTACCCTACTAGTCCCAGTAAACAGTAGTTCAGGTGGAGAAATGACAAATTGCTCATAATTTGTATTAAGGAGGAATTTAGGGAAGCCAGATTATTCAAAACCAGCCTGGAATTTAATCAGGACACCAGGGTTAACACCCCTAATTCTGCCATGGAATCCTTGATGATCAACTATTCAGGACCTTGGTTGCACATTAGTTAAACAATATTTAGAGGATAGAAGTTACTGTACATCACATTGTCCTCTGTCATCATATCGGGACACTGGTTTAGAAATTGTGGTCCACTGGGAAGAGTGCCATCTACAGTATAATGAAAGGGAACATGGAACTTCTTCACACCCGATGAAGGGTCCACCACCGAAACATTATGTTTCTTTTCTTCTCTTGTCAGCATGAAATAAACCTTTACTTGTTCCTTTGCAGTCTATGCAGGCTGCCACAGCTACTGTACCTACCTGTACCCTTCTATAATATAGTTTTATTCACATTAACCAAACTTTTGGTTTATTTAGAATCGTTCTGGTTTGTAAAGTACTATGTGACATGATGTAACTAAGAAACCTGTTCAAAGATTGCTGTTACCCCCAATTTGGTCTTGGACGCTCTCAGAACAAATGTTTTTATTTGACAGACTCACCTGAGTCAAGGAATCTGTGCATTCGGAATGCACCTTGTCTTGAAAGAGATTTACTTACATTACTTCCTTTTCAGAGTAGATATTTCAATCTCTTCATCCTAAAGTGCTACTAAGAGAAAACCTGGATTATAATAGAGAGAGGGAGTGACATCAGTCACAAATGATTCTAAATGTCTTGACTCAATCCAACCCCACTGGCCACGTCATGAATTTTTCTATTACCTTGTCCTATGTTATCAGACTGTATTAAACTGAAGGCTGCTGGCACAGCACTTCAGCACAGATCCCAGTTGTGCTTAGATTTGGCCTTTGGTCTTAATAACCAGGAGTTTAATGCAGTCCAATACCACTGCGTGAAAGAAATGAGCTGATTACAAGACCCAGGAGCAAGTGTGTTTTACAGACTGGCTGCTTTCATCTAATTAGTGTCAGATCACATTGAAAAAAAAACATTTGCCCCAGTAATGAGTGAAAGATTAAGGCAGGGTTTTCAAACAGCTGCATTTACGACCCATCCAATAACTACAAAATAAGGGGGGTTATTTATAAAAGCCAGTGGAACTAAGTTCCTCGGACTTCGTACTCCTGAACATACAATATGCACTTCAAATCCTAGTCCTATAGGAATTTGAATAGCTGCTGACTAAACATTGTGATCAAAGTGTTCTTTTTTTTCTTGAATTTTATGGAGGAGTCATTTAATTATCATTTATTTAAACTAATATGAACTACAGAAAATATTTTAAATGTATCTAGAAAACAATTAAATTTAAGTAAGGGATGTTTTCCCCTGTATTAAAGCTGTATGTTATTTTGGAACTAATCTTTTATTTACACTCTCTTAAAAAACATAGACTTAAAACATTTAATACTAAAGCTAATTGTATTGGCTGTGATAAGTGCAGGGTTAGGCCCTAATATAAAGTTAAGGCAGTGCCTAAATAACACCTTCCATCTTGGAGTAGAATGCACGTGACAAACACCACTGCTGACATTGCTTGTTATTTGTCAAAAAGATTAATGCTGGGACACGTCTAGGGCTCCTGTAAAAATATTTCCAGTTGAAAATAAAAAGAAAAGGTCAAACAAAGATATGCTGCGTGTTGCAGTGGGCATTCCATTTAAAACCTATGGAAAAAAAACACATTTCTAACAACACTTGGTTTTGCTTGGAAGTAAAACACAATCCTTTATTTATTTCTCATCACATGATGTATGTTGCTGTAACACGTTCTCCATGAGTGATGTCATTTACGTTTTGTCAGTAATGTGCTTGGGAGTGCTGCTGTATAAGACAGTAAGGCACTTGTGAATGATGGTAAGTCATTTGGAAATTTGGAGCTGGTCTGTTTTCCAATAAAGCTAATGATGACAGTAGTACTCTCTGGATGACTCCAAAAGATTATCCCCATGAAACAACAGCAGGTACTCTGAAAACTGAGAATTATCTGATACAAACACTGCTCTTAGTTAAAGTGCTTTAAGATTTATTCAGTTTGACTTTGACTGTGGCAATTCAATGAATTAGTTTCAATTCAGTGAATTAACATTATCAAGGCAAGGTTTGAAAAGACATAACCAAAAATCATCTTGATATCCGGAAATTAAAATGAAGAATTTTACCACTTGACACTGCTCTCTCATAATGGCATTTGCACACATTTTTGTCCAACGTCTTCTGTTCCAAAGTTTGAAAAGTGCTTACGGGCTTATATAATGGCATAACATGTAAATTCAATGAGTACAAATATGTAATTTTGATATCGAATGAAAAAAATAATATTGGCTAAGAAAACATAGATACTGGACTCCAATTCAATATACTGTACAAGAACAATTGTTTTAAAATTCAGTTGTTAAATTGTATTAAGTACTGTACATACAGTAGGTACTAGTACATTGAGAATGACTTACCGTAAGAAAAATCAGAATATTCGGGGACATGCAAACATGGAAACAAACACGGCTTAAAGAGAGGCTACAGTATGAAGCCACCCTCTGGTTGAAACGAAAATGGTAGAGGGTTTTATCACACAGATAAAATATAAAGTTGATTTATTTTGCTAAAGAAAACAAAAGGCACGATTAAGACCACTTCTGCCAAGTGCTGGCTGCTTATACTAGCTAGCTAACACCGTTTAGTTCCCTTTATATGGCTAAAATGGACATTTTGAAAAACCGTCCTGACAGCAGAACCCCCAGAGCTTGTGATAATATGCTTGTGTTCTACGTGCTCTAAGGAAAGAATCCACTACTTTTAAGGCTGCCATTTGTTTCTTTTAAACATTAGTAACCTCTGAATGTGTTCTCTACATTGATGTATACAGTACCAGGGCTACTCTTTTCATGTGATGTGCTGGCACCATGATAAAGATG